CGCTCGAGGTGGCGCCGCGGGACGCCGCCGAGGCGCGCCGCAGGGCCGGGCCGCCGTGCGAGGCGCTGTGCGCGGAGCTGCCCGGCGGGGGCGGCGCGCAGCTGTCGGCGGCCCTGGTGCTGCGCTGGTTCCAGGGCCACGTGCAGCGCTGCCTGGGCGCCGTGCGCTCGTGCCTGCAGGAGCGCTGCCGCGTCGGCCTGGCGGTGGGGCCCGGCCGGCCGCTGACCCTGCACCTGGCGCCGCGCTCGGACTACGTGTGCTGCCACCTCTCCATGGCGGTGCGCCTCGTCCCGGCCGTCCCGCTGGGCGAGTCGCTCTACCTCACGCCCTTGCCCGCGGCCCAGCCGGGCCCCTTCTGGACGCTCAACGTCTCCCGGCACGAGCAGCGGCTGCTGGGCTGGCTGCGGGAGCAGGCCCCGGGCGACTCGTGCCATCTCAAGTGCTTGCAGATCCTCAAAGGGCTGCGCGACCTGGGCGGGCGCTCCCTGGAGCAGCCGCTGGGCGCCCAGTGGGACGGCGTCCTCTCCTCCTACGTGCTCAAGACGGCCCTGTTCTGGCTGCTCCTGCGCACCCCCTTGCACGCCTGGGAGGACCGGTTCCTGGTGGAGAGGCTGGCGGACCTGGTCGCGTTCCTGGCAGAGAGCCTTCGCCGCCGGAGCCTGCTGCACCTGTTCCTGGGCAACCCCTGCCTGCCCGAAGCCCTGGGCCTGCCCAAGCTCCTCAAGGAAGCTGCCCCGGTCAATCTGCTGGCCGACTTCGAGGGGCCCACTCTGGACAGGGTGGCCGCGCAGCTGCTGAGCACCTGGAAGCAGGCGCCCAAGATCATCAGGATGTACAGCGGCCACAGGCATCGGCGGAAGCTTCCCGTCTGAGGCTGGAGGCGGCCCCTGGGCTGCCCGGATGCCTCCCCCACGGACTGACTGCCCACCGTGACTGACTCTGTTCCCGTGCAAGCAGAGACAGGGAAGAAGGCCCTCGACTCCCAGCGTGCCCCATATGGGTTGCAGGTCCCCTTTCCTGCCTCCACTTGCCCAGGATTGTGTCTTGACGCCTGCTCCAGCAAGCTCCCCTCGGGACATCACGGCAGGGAGGGGCAAGCTGCTTCGCTCGCCCACACAGAGACCAAAAGCGCAGTTTGCCCGAAACGTCTGGCCATCTGTCATGCGCCTGTTTGTGCGTGTGTGAGAGAGGGACCCCATGGCCTTGAGGGAGTCCCACCCCGTCCCTTGTGAAACTGCAGTCTATTTAAAAACCAAACAGAACATTTTACGGCACGTATGCCTTGAACGCAATGTGGAGTTCGGTTCCTAGGTACGGTTCTTCCATTCACTCAAGTCAGGGCTGCCGAACTTCTGGCTCTCCAGTTGTCATGGGCTCCAGCTCCCATCAGCCCCAGCCAGCAGGGCTGAGGGTTGGGGATGATGGGAGTTGGAATCCCCACAGCACCTCAACTGGAAGCCCAGATTTAGAATGTCAAAGCTACCATGTGGCTTTCTCACTCTCCCTCTTTCATGATGTTACTCTTTCGTTTTGAGCGTATCCCTGGCCACATCCGGGTGGTGGCAGGGCTCACGCTCTCCTGATGGTACTGCATCAGATAGCTTCATGCAATCAGGGAATGCCTTCAATACCTACACCTGTTGCTGCATTTTTCAGAAGGGCCTGATTACTGAGCAGAGCTGGGAGATCCCTGCAGGTGGAGAGGTAGCACAAGACAAGGGAATGAATGTGTCAGATGCCTTGATCCTAAGCACTGCTTCTTCGGCTTCTGGACTTCTGTGAGATTTGTCAAGGTACTAAACCACTCATGAACCTTCATTTGATTTTAATGATTAGATGTTGATGGAACACTGTGCCCCATGACCCCGAGGTTCTTAGGGTTCAGGCCAGCTTTGGACTTTTGTGCCAGGGCCTCGGGATACACAGGCTTGGAGGAGGGGATCAGGGCCGTTCCAAATCAGAAACCTCTCCCCGCAAGCTTAAGCATCACACCAAAGATTTATTTTGTGGGTGCAGTCGCAATGCAAAATGTGGGAAGGAGGCAGTAACCTCTTCCCTCTCCAGCTGTAGTTCCTCTTGAAAATGGGCAGCCCACCTGGCAGTTAAGCTGAAAGGGAAATTGGGGGCCCTGGGGTATGCATCTGGGGCCCTTGTGCACTGATTGGGCCTGGGCCCCTTTGAACTCGGGCCTTGCAACTCCCCAGGTGGCTGTGGCAGCCTTAAGTCGTTGGTAAGGCCGAAGGATTTCCAGCCACCACGTTTGGTGGAGTGCGGGATCAAGTCCTTTGCTTGTGACTTGCCGCAACTGCATTTCTCCAGCTGAGCTGGGAATCTGCATGCATGCGGATCATATGATGCGGCTTTTAGCCGGAGGGTGTGACACGTTTTCCTAATTCTGTGTGGGAAGCCAACAGTCAAAAATGGAAAGCAAAGATGGGGTGAGGTGCTGCACTGATAAAGAATGAGAAATGGTCACTTGTTTTCCAAGAAAGCGCAATGGAATCCAGTTGGCATTCAGGGATGGTCACCATGAGCATTTAAATGCAAACATCAGTATTCGAGACCAAAGAAATTGCACTTTATTTTCGTGGAGTCCCCTCCTGGTGGTGGAGGTATTGTGCGTCCTTTCCTAAATGTTTCCTCTGAAGCGTCTGAGCATTAATTTAAAGAAAACAGTATTCGATACTTGGATTTGTAATAAGCTGCCTTGGTGGGGGTTTTTTCATGGTGGCTGATGCAGAACTCACTTAAGAGGTCCTATCAACCTCAAGCTATACTAAGCTGCTTTACTAGAAACTAATTTAGAAGAATCCTTGTGGGTTTTTCAGACAGCAACCAACAGGGCTCTATGAAGTTTCTTTTTGCATTGGACAAACAAATGTGATTATTCTAATGAATCATTAGGCCCTTGACTGTATTGAAGTCTTCCCAGATTAAAGCCAACAAAAGCTTGACACCGCTGTACAGAAAGCTCTGTACACCAGCGTGCCCTCTTGCCTGAATTTATTCCTGAGAAGCAGTTCTCTTAGGCTGCTTCCAGACGCACTGTGCCTTGCTCACAGGATTGCACCAGGGCATCTAGACGACCCCGCCTTCCCTGTGCAACCATCCCACCCTCGCCTCTGCGTCTTCCATCTTTTTCCTTGCTAGAGAAAAACTGCTCAGGAGAAAAAGGTGGTCTTCTTTGAACAGTAGTCCTCGGAGCCCTCCGTCTGGGAACATCCTTATTTTGGTGGGAATGACTCCCAGCAAAAGCGAGCAGGCATGGAACTGTAAAACTAAATATATTCTAAGGCAGCCTTGTTCTGAAGGCAAACAGAGCTCTTTCTTCCTGCTAAGATATTGTTTACATTTCTGTGGCCCTTGATAAAGAATTACGGTGCAGCACGATTTGGAGATCTGGACCTCAGCCTATTGATGGGGAATAGCTGAGCACAGCGAGGCTTTAAACTCAGCTGCAGGTCGAGTGTGGACCCACCTGCCTTCTGAGAGCTGGAGAGTATAAAGCAAACAGGATGCAGCTTTGTGGGGTGGCACACGCCTTCAGCATCGGAAGCAGAGCCACAAAGTCTCTGCGGCGTGTTCCCGTTTTCTAATGATGTGCTCTCAGCTGACAATATGTCAGAGGGAAATTCGGAGGGTTGCTCTATCCAGCCGCCCAGCTTTCCTTGGCATGCTGGACCAGAGGAGGAAATCCGGTCGGGCCCCAGGGTGACTCGGCATCAGTGGTGACCCAGCATTTGTCAGAGGCGGCCACAGCTGGGACCCGTTCAAGTCCCGCGGAGTGAGCACTTCCCTTCAGAGGAGGCTGCAGAATGAGCAGCCTTGGGAAGGGGTATTTTTGTCATCGAACTAGTGCCGAAGCAGTCCAGCCGACCACCTTTCGTGTTTACAGGTTACGACTTGTTCTCGGGTGCCTTGTGTACAGTATTTGTTGTTGATGATGATGATGATAATAAAAATGCATAAGTGTGTGTGAGGAATGTTTCTGCTTGAGGCGTTGTCCGAACAGGGTTGTCCGAACAGCAGAGCCGCTGGCCCAGCGATGGGCAACTTGTGTCCCATCTGATCCTTTGGTTGGCAGCTTCTAACTGTGGCAGCACCCACGGCTAGTGGTGAGGGATGATGGGAGTTGTAGGCCAGCACATCTGGAGGGCCACAAGTCACCCACCTCTGCCTGAGCTGGAGCAGCAACCAAAACAAGCATGGAGGTGAAAGAGCCAGGTATGCTGGAAGAATGACCGGGGAGGCTTACAGCCTGGGGCTCAGACTAGATATGGGAGTGAGTCGCAGCCCTCCTGTTTCTTTACGCCCACATCTGTCCCAGTCACACAGAAAGGTTTTCTTAAGAACTGCCTTGGCTTGTATGAACCTGTCCTCGCTTTAAGAGTCTGAAGACAGCTGGTGCGATGGAGGGCTGACCTGGGGCTGGAAAGAGCCACGTTCAGATTCTCAGTCTTCAGGTAGGCTTGCTGGGAGATCTCGGACCATTCCTGATCTCACAGCATACCCTACCCTGCAGGACTGTTTATTTATTTATATTATTTATATTGCTATTTATATCCTGCCTTTTTCCTACAAAGGGCTCAAGGCAGCTTACATCATCTCTCCTCCTCCATCTTATCCCCACAACAACATCCCTGTGAGGTAGGTTGGGCTGAGAGTCTGTGACTGGCCCAAAGCCACCCAGTTGGCTCCATGGGTGAGCGGGGACTAGAACCCAGATCCTCTGAGTTCCAGTCCCATGCTTTTAACCACTACACCACACTGCCTCTCTGTTGTGAGGATGCAGTTGAGAAGGGAAAGGTCCATATGGGAAAGGTCTGTATGTTCCATCTTGCACTTACTGGTGGATACTCAAGAGAATTGTAAGAAACGAGATTAACATCGGCAGCCCTTCTGTGTGAGTTGTCATTGACAACGAATCAACTGGCAGGAACTGGGAACGAGCTTTTTGGTGGTGGTTCCACAGCCATGGAAATGTCTCCCCTGAGGAGACCTGCCTAGTGCCTGCCCTTCCTGTTTTCAGACAGGCACTGAATCCTTTGCAGTTCTTATAATCCAGAAGGGATTTCATAATTGCATTCTGGTTTAATTTGAGGATGAGGCGGGAATGGTCTAATTTTGATGTGCCTGATACTGATCTTTAAGGTGTTTTTATTGTGAAATTTTATTTTTCCTTGAGCTGCTTTGAACAATGGAAGACTTGGGCTGCAGCCCAAGCTTAAACCCTTTGCAGTGAAACATCTATTAGGAAGATAGGGTGATTTTAACTCCCCTCTAGAAAAAAAGGGGGAGCCATTGATACCTTGAACACAGAAAAAGGGACTTTGGTTAGAGGACTGCTCAAGGGGAGGACTACACCTATCCCCAAACTGATGAGGTTGGTAAGAATGGGGTTTGTGTGCCAGGGTGTATCCTCCCTTCTGCTGGGTACGAGCTAATGGTTCCCATTGAATTCTATGGGCAAAGAGATGGGCTATAATTAGGGACAGAGACAAGGCTGAATCTGCCCAAAGCATTGGAGTCATTGGGGAGGAGATGAGTTTTTCTGCCACATCAACACTCATCAGCTCACTTTCTAAACCCTCCGCGTCCATAGAAGTGAATGGCTTGCGTTCCTTTCAGTGGAGGAAAAGTAAGCCTGCAGTTATCACTCTGTCCTCTAGATGACCTCGCCGGAAATGCAGTGTGACCAGCCGGGAAGTGTCTGGTGACTAAACCAGGCCGCTGGAGGATGGAATGGGCTTATGATTGCTAGAAAATTGCCATGTTCACCAGACTGCCTTGCAGAATTCTCTCTCAAAGTACAGGGAATTAGATGGGGACCCTTAAAATCGTCATCTGGGCAGATTAATCAATAAACATGGCTTGAAAGCCATGTTTTAAGATGTGCTTGACCACATGCCAAAGCACTTAATGGGCGCTGGGCAAATGAGTCTTCCCACCGCTGGTTGGTTTTGTTTTTTGACGGGCTTCATCTCTTCCATTTGTTCAGATATAACTCGTGTGACTCACGCCACAGTCCCTGCAGACATGAATTGTTAGGAGCTATTATGGCAGAGCTGCAGGTTGGAGAGCTTGTTTGTTCAACAATATTGTAGTCTAATGAGTGAATCTCTATTTAAATTGAAGAGGCGTGCGAAGAAGCACACCTTTTACAAAGACCTTTTTGGCTGTTGCTTCATTTCTACTCCCCTTCCTGCACAGCATGTTTTGAAATTGCTAAAATCTAACCTTATCTTCCATGTTGTAGCCACTGAGCGATAGAAAGTAAAATTAAGTCTGCAAACTTTCCTGGGAAGAGGCTGTCCTAAATATAACACCATTTTGGAGATTGGTTGCAAAGCTGCTGATTATCTGACTGCCTGCAGAAGTCAGAATTGCCTCAGGGCAAACTGGCAAGAGGTCCTAAGCAACAGTTCATCCCCCAAATGATTCATGTAGACAGCACTCAGAAAGTTTGCATGCTTGTTTGCAAAGCTGATTCCACATTTGCAGTTCCATAAGTACGCAATTGTGGGACCTCCCTCTGATGTTAGTTACAGGTTCCTTGTTCATAAAATTCCTTGGTCCAGACCTGCGGAAGATTCCTGTATGTCTAGGAGTCCTGCAGAAGCAAGGATCCGGTCAGATCTGGCGGCATTGCAATAATCCTGAGCAACATCTCCCCAAACTTTTTTTCTTCTGGGAGACTCCTAATACCCTCAAATTGTCACAAAGAACATTAAAAAAAACCTCTTTCAGGTTCTGAGTCTTGCCACAAATGAATGCAAACCAAACTGAGCTGATTTTATACTTGTCAAGGACAATCATGGTTTAATCATTGCTACTGGGTATTGCTCAGGCTAGATGTCTTGGAAAGAGCCCTTTTATGTATTTGAATGAGTCTGAAATGGGAAACATGGGTCAATTGTGCATTCCCAGGATGCTCAAAACAAGCTGCTTTTTCAAACATTTAAAGAGATATGGGCACGAGATTCATAACTTGTGTTTCTGGTTTCAATGCCTGTTGGAAAGTGCAAAAGCCTTTTGGATGTTACTTAGTCCAGTCTTGTATTTAAAAGAAAGTCTGGTCACCTATGATGACCAGGGATTCTGCGTAGGTGCGTGGGCACAATCCCCCTACAACTGGCTGGCTGGGGGAATGATGGGCGCTGTACAGGTTTTTCCTCTCTAAACATGCATAAGATTGCATCATTGATTGTTATTAAAACTTGGGAGGAGGGGAAATATTGTTTAAGTTGCCAACTAAGTTTTTATTGTTATGATTTTTCTGGTTGATAAAAGTGTTTAAAAGTTGCACTCCTCTTGTTTCTGTCAAAAGCTGTTGCGATTTGAAACTTGCCCCTAATAATAAACTACCACTCAGAGACTTTTTTGGGTGCCAAGAGAATGTTGCTGATTGCGACGAAAGTACTTCCAACACAACGTTTTCCAGGAGGTGCACATGGAAACGAAGAAGAGCCTCACAAAAGCTTGTTTACCTCATGATTACGCAAAAGTTGCTCCCGGTGGATTATACCTTTCCACACTTGGTGATTCTCTCATCAAATGCAATTTCTTTTATGGAAGCTGGTCGCCCATTTTTAAGGCTGAGCGTGCTCTTAAAAGACTTCGTGTCAACTTCAGAGATGGCTTAATGAACAAGGTGTGTTCATCTTTCCATGTTGGATTGCACCACCCCTCATTCTTCCTGCTGGCTAGGGCTGAAGGGAGTTGTAGTCCAGCAACATCTGGATGACCATAACATTCCCGGTGACCTGGCTCGGCAGGTTCATAGGCCAGGAGGTCTCCCAGTCCTACCGGAAAATGCTGAGTTTTAAACCCAGAACCTTCTGTGTGTGGAACATGTTCTCTGGGGCTCCGGCTTCCTTTGTTTTGATATAGATGATCACTTTTATGGAACAGCAGAACAGCGTGTCCTTCATATGCACGAGGTCCCAGGTTTAATCCACAAAGTCTGGATAGGGAAAGCCGTGCTGAAGCCCTGGGGAATGGTTGCCAGGCTGCATTTGATGAGCTGTTGGACTCCACAGCCTTTCTCTGGGATTAAACTCTGCCGTTTCTTTTGTTACAAGGAGGCCTTTATGTCGGAAATAGAAAACACTTGACCTTTACTGCCTTTCAAAACTAAAAGCAAGCCTTTTTTCAGTGCCGAAGGCCTTCCAAAGCGTGGGGGATGGATTGAGAACGTGGGCCACACGCACGAGAGGCAATAAAAGGCTAATAGAGCTCACACAGGCAGGGAAACACCGCAGGTCCAGTGAGAAGGCAGATCTGTAGACACCCTTTCGTGACCTCCGTAGCCAAAGGCCCACCATCCCGGCTCAGTTTCTTCATTCGCTAGGTGACCGGAAGGACAAACACAACACGGTGCAGGGGCATTGCTAGGACGGGACCCTGACCTTCAGTCTCTTTCCCCCAGTGAGCACTGCAGGGAGAAAGGGGTTAATTGTGCCATTCTCACAAGCTGCAACTCCCACCATTTCCTTGCCAGGAAAGAAAGCCCCGCATGACAGTTAAACCTTAAAAATAAAAAGCATTTTTCCTCTGGGGTCGGGAGCATGTATTTAATTTGAGATACTTTAGATGAAGAGTTGGTTGGCTTGGCTTTACCTAAAGCCTAATCATTCTAAACTTACATAGATAAGAGATAAACTGGCAGATGCAGATTTGTGTATTTGGGACCCAAATCGTAGGGAGAATTAAGAATGTCCCCAGGAAAGAATCTTGCCTGCCCCTGTGGAAGCCCCTGCTAGTTAGAGAATGATGGTTTCGATAGATTTCTTGTCCACCAGATCAAGGAAATGGAGGTTAGGTTTGCATGAACCTGTCCTTTTGCTCCCCTCCACATCTTTGGAAATCTCACAATCTTTCCATTCCGTTTATGAAGACATCTGCAAGTTCTGGCAAGTTTTTATGAAAAGGCTCCCAAACTGAAGAGATTTCTTGTCTACCTGCATCAGCCACACTTGA